CATAATCATTATCATCATCATCATCATCATCATCATCATCATCATCATCATCATTTTCATTTAGGTTTTAAAATATTTGAATAAAATTAATATTATATTTCTGTATGTGTAAAATTAAAATTTTATTGATTATTATTTGATATTCACATTATGTTATATTTCTCATATATCAAATTAATTATTTTATTATTATTTTATTTTTCTACAGAAATTATAGTAGACAATAGTAACAGTGACGCTCACTCGACAAGCGTATAAAAATAGGATGTCAGGGCATAGAGGCGGAGGAGGAGCTGGGAGCCATCAAGGAGGCCCAGCAGGTCTTAAACAAATAGATTTAGATCAAATTTGGGGAGATCTTCGTGAGGGTATTGAACAAGTTTACAACAGGCAATGTATGTCTAAACCAAGATATATAGAATTGTACACGTATCCTTTATAATTTAAAAATTAAATAATGAAAAAGGAAAAGAAAAATAAATAAAAATAATAAAATAATTGTTTATATTTATATTTGTTTTATTATTTCCTTATTGTATTATATAACTCATTAGACATGTATATAATTATTGCACAAGTGTTCATCAACAATTAACTAGAACATCGACCAAAAGTAAGAAAGGACAAATTTCTCAAGGAGGTGCACAGTTAGTTGGTTTGGAGTTATATAAACGTTTACGTGACTTTCTTAGAAATTACCTTATAAGTTTATTAAAGGTAATTTTTTTTTGCTTGCTTATTATTATTAATTAATACTAAGATGTAGTACTTAATATTTTAATTTAATATCTTTTATGCAGCATGGAATTGACTTGATGGATGAAGATGTATTACAGTTCTATACAAGACAATGGGAAGAATATCAATTTAGTAGTAAAGTATTGAATGGTGTATGTTCATATCTAAATCGACATTGGGTACGTAGAGAATGTGAAGAAGGTCGTAAAGGAATCTACGAAGTATATCAATCAGCTTTGGTTACATGGCGAGATAACTTATTCAAGCATTTAAATAGACAAGTAAGCGATTTAATTTAATAGATAAATATATGAAAAATAAATTAACAAATGAAATTACAACAGGTTACTAATGCAGTACTTAAATTAATTGAGAGAGAACGCAATGGAGAAACAATAAATACACGTTTAGTCAGTGGCGTAATCAATTGTTATGTAGAATTAGGTATGAATGAAGAAGATCCTGGTGCTAAAGGACAGAATCTTACTGTTTACAGTAATTCTTTTGAAAATGTCTTCCTTGAAGATACAGAAAGGTTTTACACTCGTGAAAGTTCTGAGTTCCTCCGACAAAATCCAGTTACAGAATACATGAAAAAGGTTTTGAAATTAAATTTTGTTACAGTTATATTTTGTTGATATATTTTCTAAAGATATTTTTAATAAATACCAGTTTATTATAGGCAGAACAAAGATTATTAGAAGAACAAAAACGAGTTCAAGTATATTTACATCAAACAACCCATGATAAATTAGCAAAAACATGTGAGAGAGTGTTAATTGAGAAACATTTAGATATTTTTCATTCTGAATTTCAAAATCTCTTGGATGCTGATAAGAACATAGACTTAGGTCGAATGTATCAATTAGTAGCAAGGATTCCAAATGGACTTGGCGAATTAAGGAATCTTTTAGAAGGTCATATAGCTAATCAAGGACTTGGAGCTATTGATAAATGTGGTGATTCTGCAGCCAATGTACATTTATTTATTATTTATAATAATTATATATTAATAATAACTTGGTATCTAATTTTATATCATAAATATTTTTATAGGATCCAAAGGTTTATGTAAACACAATTCTGGAGGTTCATAAAAAATATAATGCTTTAGTACTTGTTGCATTTAATAATGATAGTGGTTTTGTGGCAGCTCTTGATAAGGCTTGTGGAAGATTTATTAACAGTAATTCAGTAACTAGAGCAGCAAATAGCAGCAGTAAATCACCAGAATTATTAGCAAAATACTGTGACCTATTATTAAAAAAAAGTAGTAAAAATCCTGAAGAAGCTGAACTTGAAGATACATTGAATCAAGTTGTGAGTAAATTATTAAAATCATAAATAATAATAAATTTTTATTTGATAAAAATATTAATTTTTTTTTTTTTACCAATCACAGATGGTGGTATTTAAATATATAGAAGACAAAGATGTGTTTCAAAAGTTTTATAGTAAAATGCTGGCAAAAAGATTAGTACAACATATGTCTGCCAGTGATGATGCAGAAGCTTCTATGATTTCTAAATTGAAACAAGCTTGTGGTTTTGAATACACCTCAAAATTGCAACGAATGTTTCAGGTACTGTATTATGCTATGATATTCTTTTTAATTAATTTTATACATCTCAAACTTTTTTTTTTCTTTTTTACATTTTTATAGGCAATTATTTTTATACTGTTTAAGAATATTGATTAAAATTATATAACATTATAATTGTAGCAGTCTGTTCACAGGATATTGGTGTATCTAAGGACTTAAATGAACAATTTAGAAGGCATTTGACAAATTCTGCTGAACCATTGGATATAGATTTCAATATACAAGTCTTGTCTTCTGGCTCCTGGCCATTTCAACAGTCTTTTACGTTTTCATTGCCAACAGAGGTAAACAATTATCAATTAATATATATCAAATAGTATAATCAATTTAAAAGATAATATTATGGTTTAAATATTATTATTTTTATGTTACAGCTAGAAAGATCTGTACATAGGTTCACTACCTTCTATAGTTCACAACATAGTGGAAGAAAGTTGAATTGGTTGTACAATATGTCTAAAGGAGAATTACATACAAATTGTTTTAAAAATAGGTTATAAAACAATAAAATTTAAGATCCCAAAAAAATATTTTACATTATAAATGAAAATTCATTATTTAATTGCAGATACACATTACAAGCATCCACATTTCAAATGGCTGTTTTATTACAATATAATGGATCCACAGTGTGGACGATTCAACAATTACATGATGCTACACAAATAAAAATGGATTTTTTGCTTCAGGTAATATAATAAAAATTAAAAATGAAATATGTGTAAAAGAGATTTTAAATTATTTAATTCTTTTTACAGGTTATTCAAATACTCTTGAAAGCTAAGCTATTAACGGCAGCTACTGATGACGAAGCTGAATTGACGCCACTGTCAACAGTGGAACTATTTACAGGATATAAAAAGTATATTTAATTTAATTACTTCTGATATTTGTTTCACCAAAAATTATATTGATATATTACTTTTATGACAGCAAGAAACTGAGAGTAAATATTAATATACCAATGAAAACGGAATTAAAGATTGAACAAGAAACAACACAAAAAAATATAGAAGAAGATAGAAAGCTCTTAATTCAGGCAGCTATTGTTAGGATTATGAAAATGAGAAAAGTATTGAAACATCAGCAATTGGTAGCTGAAGTATTGAATCAATTAAGCTCTAGGTTCAAACCAAGAGTACATGTCATTAAGGTCAGTATCTTTTCTTTTTTTTTATTATTTTTAAAATTTTATTCTTAAATTATTATATATAATTATATTATATATATATAAACTTTATTATTATATTATTATTATTATATATATAAACTTATATAAACATATAAACTCATCATAACATAATATTATATATGATATAATATAAATAGAATTCTTTAAAAAAAAATAAATATAATTTTAATATAAGATAATTTTGCTTTTTCAGAAATGTATAGATATTTTAATTGAAAAAGAATATCTGGAGCGCACAGAGGGCCAAAAGGACACTTATAGCTACCTGGCATGATCAAGTTGATCCAAGACAACGATATGGCAGCAACAATACATGCAAATGAAAGATGACTATTCAATGTCATTTCTAGATATTGTCACAATATTTATTTAAGTCTCGAATTTGAATCTCATACATTCTCCTTGTACATGGATGCCCTTGTACCATGTTGTCCCTCTGGTCGCATTTAGAGTCTGGTTTTTATAATATGTTAATAAAATCATTTCATAGTCAAGCTGCTAGATGTATTACTGTCTACGCCGTCTTTGACGTAAATTCAAATATTGCTGGTTTTTGATATCATATTATCGTATTATGAAATGAAAAATGCACGAATCTAATCTTTTATGTTAATAAGGAATAGTAAAAAATGTTTTCAAAATTATAAATTCGTAAAATCAATCAAAAAAGTGAGAGAGAAAAGAGCGAATAAAATTTAGAGTTAAGCGTGGTAAGAGTGAAATAAATAAAACAAATGTTTTAAATAAATTTAACATATATTGTAAGACACTTATTAATGAACGAGGATGAAAGGCTGGGCATGCACTATTTTTTTTTTTATTTTTTTCTTTTTCTTTCAAATAGCATAAAGTGCATTAATATAATTTTATGAGATTATAAAATAAGAAAGAAATGTAATTTCATTAATTATTTGTATTATAATATAATATGAAAAACAAGAATTTAAATACATAGATAGTAATACATTTTAATGCAACATTTAGAGAAGTTTAATTATTAATCACGTGTACAACAGAAAAAATTTTATACCAGTGAATAAAAAAGTCTGCCCTAATAATATAAAGTTCATTGTTTTCGTGAGTAACACTCTCACATTTACATAAGTTTTTATTATGATTCAAAGAAATAAAGAAACTATATAATTATTTTCACAGTTAATTTATAATAAAAATAATATGAAATAATATTTTATTTAAAAATATTCAAATCAGAAATGTATGTTGTGTATATTATTACATCTACATATAAAAAATTTATTTCTTGTATATTTTCTCTCAGCGACGAATGTATCAAAATCTTATGGTATGATTTATTTACATACTTTATTGAAAATCATATGTTTTAGAAGCTATAATAAATTCAATATTAAAAGTGCAATATAAAATGCGAAAATGATATAGTATAATTTTAAATGTAAACAAATAATGACTTAAATAAGAAAATTGTTAATGTATCAATGCTTTTAATTTTAATAAGGATAGCAGATTTTGATGTATACATGTATGTGAGGTTGAGTTGTAAAACACAATATGTAAAAGAGTTATAAAATTAGAATTTTAAACGGAACGTTATCGTAATTATAAAAAAAGCAAATAGCATCAAAAAGGGAACAGGGAGTTATAATAAAATATTTGAAAAAAAAAAAAAAATAACATCTTCATATTAAAAGAAAAACAAAAATAATTAATTTAATATATTTTATTAAACAGAATGTAATAGGGATTTTAATAGTTTAACATTAAAATTAGATTGCGCAGTAATAATTAAAATGCAAATAAATATACTTATCTTCGTTCACTTTTTTGTGACACTTAATGTTATTTAACTGCTTTCAATGATAGTGTTTAGAATACGTCAAACTGCTTTTATAAGCATAGCAAATATACAATGGTATATATATTATTTAAAAAAATATAAAATAAGAATTTGTAAAGTTCATTTGATGAAAAGTTTTTTAAAAAATTAGTTTTCTTTGAAACATTTGAAAATTAAATTTAAAGATAAATTAAATGAATTTTTATACATACTAAGATTTGTTATTTTCAATCAAATTTTTTATGCATAAAATAAGACATAAAAATGTAAATAAATTAAAAAATATTTTTAAAAATTATTTTAAATGAAGATTAATTCAATTAAGTTTATTAAATTAAGTAACAATGAAAATCAATTGCATATCTTTTTTGTAAAATTGAACAATACATAATATTTTAAAATGAAAATACCAATACAATTTTTTATACATACATGATTTACATAATGAATATATATTTAAAATTTTGTTTTAATATTTTTTGTAATAAATTCATTTATATATATATATTTTTTTTTCAAATATTATAAATTATTTATTAAATATTAAAAATATATGCTGAAAAAGACATTTTAGATATAAAATAAATCAAATAAAAAAGATATTGGGATGAATTATAGAATTTAGATCAAGAAACAAAATTTTCAAATTTCATAATGAATGACAGGTAATGTATTGAAAAACACAGATTTTTCATAAAAAATATTATTAAGGATATATAATATCATGTAATATAAAATTGTATAAAATGTATGGCTATGAAATGAAATTATTCCATCTTTTGCAATGTATTGCAGTAGTTACATACATTTAATAAATGTTTTATATATAATATATATTATAAATTTTCAGGTTTTTGATCCAATAATCTTGAAAAATCTTCTTTTGCTAATTTTAGTTGTCCAACTGCCAGTAAGCATGCCTTGTGTGCATATGAGTATTTACATGCATATACACATATATACATATGTGTATATATATATATATATATATATATATATATATACACACATATATAGATTATAAGATATAAATTAAAGTACATACATAAACTTGTATATGTAATTTTATAAAAAATATAAAATATATACATACATTTTGCTTCTTTAAGTTATCTACAATTAACATTTGTTTTTTAAACACTTGTATCAATTCTGAAAGTTGTTTTCGCAAATGATTAATTGTTAATTTTTTTTCCTCTTGTAGATCTCTAATTTGAATTTTCAATTCCTATGAAATAAAGCAGGATAAAAATCTATATTATAACTAATTGTAAAATTGTATTATGACTAAAAATCTGTAAAATTGTATTATGATTAATATTAAATAGTTTTATAAACTGAACCTTTTCTTCTACTTCGGAATATTTTAATGCATTCTTAAGTTTATCATTGTTTTCTAAAGATCTATTTAATCTTATAGTACAACTATTAGATTGATGATTTGTTATTTTTATTTGCTTCTGAAGTCTATCCAAATCCTGTTAATATGCATAAGATAAATTAAAAATATACTATAAAATATTAATATATAAAATAATATATTTAAATATTTTATTAATATTACATACTTTTTTTAAAATTAAATTTTCTACATGTAATGCCTGTGATTGACATTGTATTTCCTTGTTAGTATTTTCTAATTTTGTGACTGTTTCTTTTAATGATTCTATTTCAGTCTTCAACTTAATTTCAATTTTCTTACTTTCACATTCTAAATTTTTACAAATATCATTCTAAAAAAAGATAATATAATTATGTAGAAATCAATTAAAAAAATATTAAATAAATTCTAAATACCTTTTTTTTATATTCAATATGCATTGTTTGCAGCTCATTATGTAATATATCTATTTTAGCTTTTAAGAAGTTAAAAACAGTTTTACTTGCTAGGTTTTTTTGTTTAAAAATATCATCTTCATTATCTTTCTGTAATTCTAGTTTTCTAGTATATATAAAAAATAAAAAAATTAAAATATAATATAATAAAAATTACATATAAATATAAATTCAATATTTTAATATGAAATTTTGACTCTTTTTCAAAATTAAATTTAATATGATATAATTTTTTAATTTTATACATA